GGTGAGGCAGCCATGATGAGGGAGGAAGTGGGGCAGGGTTGGCAGCTAGAGATGCACGGATACATCAGTCCATATTGTATTGGCACCAATAATGTCAATTTTCCTTTTATCGACAAGTGGCTTTTTTTTGGCTGATGTGGCTGATATTGTCATCGATAAATGATGTGTGCATGCATGCAAGCTGCAGCATGCACATGGCCAGGAGTGCAGTCCGGCAGCTTGGAGAGCAGCATATGGCTAGTAAGTTTGTGGGGGGCAAGCAGCATGGGGGACAGATTGAGGGCTCCGTGATGAGGGAGGGAGTGGGGTTGGGGCAGGGGAGGGTGCTACACAGCCGTGGTGGGGCCTGGGGTGGAGCTGCGAGTGGATTGTCTGGGGTTGTGGTGGGGTGGGGAGGGGAGGAGGTGGCTCCTGCCACTGTGCACACCCCCAGGGGAGGTTTGGGGGCCATGTGCCACATGAATCTGTATGGGGCTGTGTATGGGGCTAGAGCAGGCTGCCCACTTAGGGCCGGGGGTGGTGCCAGGCTCTTCCCAGCATTCCTTCTCCCAGCCCCTCTGCTGCCTGCTGCGGCCCAGTGCCTCTGCCAGGAAGAGCTAGGCGCTGCCTGAGGCCCCAAGAAGGCAGCCCACCTCCCCCTTGCACATGCCCCACATACCTCCCTCAGGGGTGCATGCAGCAGCAGGAGCTGCCCCTGCTTTCTACCCCTCCCCTGCATCCCTCTGGACAAATTGCTCCCAGATCTGTCCCATGTCCTGCCCTGGCTGTGTGTGTACGTGTGTGTGTGGGGGGGGGCTGCCCCTGCCGCTGCTGCCCCTGCCCCACGCCCTCCCACATAAGGTCCCACTTACTGGGCCACAGAAGCCCCTGGGGGAGGGCAGCAGGACAGCTTGCATCTGCCCCTACTCTCCATGGGTTCTGCTTGGCTCCACTCTGGTGGTGCCGCTTGTGCAGGGGCAGGGATGGGCTTCGTTCCATCCACAGCAGCTGTCACCTTCCGCATGTGGCAGCCAGGGCTTGGGTGCTAGTGGCGGCTGTGGCTGGTGCCCACAGAACAGGGAGCAGGCAGCATGTGGCTTCCGGGTCCTGTAGCCCTGGCAACTGGGGGTGGTGATAGTGCTGGGGGGGGAGGGGCAGGGAACTGTGGGTTGGGATTGAGGGGCCCTGGTGGGGATGGGAGCTGTGGGT